GTCAGAAGGTCCTGTCAGGGTCAGAAGGTCCTGTCAGGGTCAGAAGGTCCTGTCAGGGTCAGAAGGTCCTGTCAGGGTCAGAAGGTCCTGTCAGGGTCAGAAGGTCAGAAGGTCCTGTCAGGGTCAGAAGGTCCTGTCAGGGTCTGAAGGTCCTGTCAGGGTCAGAAGGTCAGAAGGTCTTGTCAGGGTCAGAAGGTCCTGTCAGGGTCAGAAGGTCCTGTCAGGGTCAGAAGGACCTGTCAGGGTCAGAAGGTCCTGTCAGGGTCAGAAGGTCCTGTCAGGGTCACAGTGGTTCATCATGTTGTAAAGAAATTTGTCCAACAAGTCATTTATTTATAAAGCTGTGATTAAAACATGAAGTATAGGAACATGTAATCCTCACAGCTTCTCTTCTCTGTGCTAGCTTAGTAAAGAGTTAAAAACCTTTTATTTTCTCATGTCGTTGGTGTGAAAATGTTTTGCACATATCCTAAAGTATGACAGTTTGTGATGTGAGCTTGTTTTGTGAATTTCTTGCAGCTGGAAGTGTAGAAATAAGTAGAGTATTAAATCAATCTGATGAAATATGTAAATGTATTATAAATGATGAAACAAACAGCTGTTGTATGTTTGTGAGTTGTGTTCTTTAGTTACACACATGTCTCTTCAGGCTCTGTGACAATCCACTGCTGGACTCTGGATGTGGCACCCTGCTGGAGGCCCTCCCAGAGAACCGGTCCCTGGTGCAGCTGTCCCTAATGCACACTGGTCTGGGGGATAGTGGGGCCCTGCAGCTGGCTGAGAAGCTGCAGCAGCAGACCAGTCTGCAGGAGATCAGTGTGGCCTACAACAGCATTGGAGATGGTGCAGCTCTGACACTGGTTGATGTCTGCAGGGAACATCCCAGCATCCACACGGTCCAGTATGCTCCTTTTCTCTGTCTACAGACTTTATCTTCTCATTCAGAGACCAGCATACAAGTTATAGTTCTTCTTCAAGCTGTGATGATAGCACTTTCATCTTAAATAAGACAGAAGGATTTGTTTTATAAAGAGGATTACTTAGATTGTAATACTCACACAGACCACAAGGGACAGAACTGTACTTGAGCAGGACATCTACGCCCTACACTGCAAAAACTGTCCACTGTCCATTGTTTGTCTTGTTAGTCTGAACATTTGACTCTAATTAAGTCAAACATTTCTGCCAGTGGAGTAAGAACATTTTACT